TTTTTTGGATGTGTTAGTCAATGGTTTATGTCTTCACATTTTGGCCAAGGACGAACAATTTTCCAGTCCCTGTTCTCAGCCCGTTAGATACCAGCTCTACCTCTTAGCAGTTGTGTGAACTGGGCAAGTTTATTAACTTTCCTGGGCCTCAGATTTCTCATCTGTAAAAGGGGTAATAATAGAATTTGCCTTAGAGAGTGGTTGTAAAGAATAAATAATCAATATGTGTGCCTAAGTGCAACGTCATTATCGTTATAAGCTATTGGCGTAGCAGTGGTAATATAAACAAATATAACATAAATAGAAAAAACTTGTTAACAATTTGATAGCTATTTACCAAGCGATCTCATTAATTTTTCTACCAAAAGAAGAGTCTCATTTAAATATGAATTTAAAATATATAGCATTTTGCTAGTTTGTAGATAATTGTTTTTATTAATATCTGCATTGACACTTTAAAAATATTAGGATACTTTCGTGTCTAGCAAGTTAAATTATAAGATATTGAGAATTTAGAAAAGTATTGAAGGTTAGATAGTGGAACTTTAGGTAGGAAATACTAAACCAATTAGGTTTGTTAGTTTGGAGGGTATATTAGATGTTGAATTGGATTAATGGTCAATAGATCGCATCCATTACAAGAGGGGTTCAATTAAAAACATGTTTTTTTTGTATTATAGGGCTAGAGATGTAATTGGGGCAAAGGTATCTGACTGGGGCATTTTTAAATATTGAAATATATTACTTTTGCAATTGGGAAGGTAGGAAAAACTCTTTTCTTGGGTCCTTTTTTTTTAAGTAAACTTACCTAAAAAGAATTAATTAGATTAAAACAAGGGAACAGGTTAATTAACTTATATGTGTTCTGTGTGGTTCTATGAAGATTACATGAATCTATCACAAACAAAAAAATGTATGAATGTACAGATTACATGAAAGTGGAAAAGCCACTGAGGAAAGTCCAGCACCTCTCCTGCCCACCTGACTAAGCCCGGAGCCCCTCTTCCTACTGCAGAGCCTCAGCACCTGCATCAGCTGCTCCGGGAATCTCGGAGTCCAGCACTTTCTTCCCAGGGCCCTGACACTCAGCACTGTGAAGCCTGCAGAAGTCCTCTCAGAATGCAGCCCAGACCCGCAGCACGAGGGAGTTCCCACCACACTTCCCCAGCGGACAGTGGGGCACAAACACTCCCCTGCAATCAGTCCCAGGCAGAAACGTCAGCAGGAAGGAGCCAAGTGCTCACAGGGAAACTGGCTCCATATCACGCTCATGAGTGGGATCTCTTTCCACCCCTCTCTCTCACTTCCTTTGGGATCACATCCAAATGAATGAGCTACCTGCAAGCAAGGGTCTGCTTTGGGGGAACCCCGTGATAAGACTAACATGAGCACTGGTGATACTGTAATCCTTCCTACAGGCCTTTCATGTGCAGAGGAAGAAAGTAGCCATGATAGCTTTTTAAGAGAGATGGGAGGCAGAGTTTGGAATCCACTACAGTATTCCAAGTGAGACCTTTTAATTACAGGTGAGGTCTGAAATGGTGCAGGCACCATGGGAGCAGTAAAGAAGAAATAACCCCAGCGTTGTCTCAGACAGACTCAGCAAGACTTGATGATGGGTGGAATATGGGGGGTGAGGGAGAGGGAAGAACAGGCAGGGGCTCCCGATGCTCCTGTTCAACGTTCCATCCCACCAGGCTTCACACTGAGGCCTGCCTCTAGCAGGTGCTGAGAGTGAGGGAAAGAGGGGGAATCACAAATGGCTTTGCGTACGGGTCGTGAAGACTTCACAGGTGTGAATGAGTGTGGTTCTCGTCTCCCTAGACCTAGCGCTATCCACTGTCCTTGCACAATTGCTGATAATGTCCCTGTTCTATTCTCAAAATTGTTCCAGTTTGGAACAATAGATTATATGTTCTCTTTACCTTTAACCAAGGAAAGGACCTCAGGGATCAAGTTTTTACAGGAGTACATGAGTTTGGTTTTAGACATCATGATAATGAGGAGCCTGCTGATGTATCCAAGTAGACATAACTGATGGAAGGAAATTTAGAGTTCACACGTGTGTTCTGAGCAGATGAAACCAGGGACGAGGATGACAATATGCAGAGGGTAAAACAGAGTCAAAGCGAGCTGTGCTAATGGCATTACTTTTCTCTCAGGGTCAATTGGAGGGTAGATTTGGCCTCAGCTATCATGAGAATAATTTTCCAACTACAAGTGGCATCAAAGAGTTTTAAAATACTAATGTCTTGTGCCATGAATTGGAGTACCCATAGTGTTTCACTCCAGAAGACAGTGCCTGCAAGCTTAAACCTCAAGGAATTTGATAAACACCTTTCAATGTTTTCAAAATTCACTTAAATCCAGACTACATATGAATAATTATAACAATTTTGAACTACATGAAATATGTGCCTATATGTCTGAGTTTTTGCTTCCTGCCTATACATACTAGAATAGTTGAAGTTTTGTGTAAAAGGAGGCTTAGCGTTCCCTGGCATTTCGGTTGTCTCAACCCCTTACTTGCCGGAAGCCGAGATCCAGGGAATCTTAGCTGCCTGTCTTCCTGCCGCACTGTGATGGCACTTAATTAGCTTTTTTGCCTCCTGTAGGAAGAGTCATTTATTTTTGGTAGCTCTCTCACTTTGATGACTATCATAAAGAAATTAAATAATAGGTTGTTCAGTGCATCAACAGAGTGCTTTTGGCTGTGGGTAACAGAGGAGTGACTGGAAGCCAGAAGTTTTTAGGGACATGTAGTTTGACGTAACAAAAGGGCAAAGGCAAGAAGATTCCTGGTTTTATTCAGTAGCTCAGTAACATCACTGAAGTCTCTTTCTTCCCATGGTCCAGAGCAGTGACAAAATCCCACCTTAAATTACAAATGGCTGTGAAACTCCAAGCCTTCAGTTACAGGCATAATCATGGTTAGTGAAATGAGGCATTCTTTACCTAGAGAGGGAAGAAACATGTTCTAGAATTCACCTCGAAGACTTCTTCCAGGTCCTATTGAGTGAAATATTCATAGTCAAGCACCTAGGGAGCCTGAAGAAAAATATCTGGAAGCCAGCCAGAAGGGGCTGATGGTTCATTCATGGGTAACACGTGGTGTCCACCTCACATAGGTAAGCAAGATGCCAAGGGAGGAGAGGGGGGTCATCAGCAGATTCATCTTTTGTTTATGATGTGATTCAAATCCT